AAAAAACTAAAAACGCTAATATTTATCATTTGCTTTTAAATGATTCTGAACCGGCAAAATGTATTCAAAATGTATCATAATTAATTATAAGAATAATAGGGTGGTTGCACCTCTTTGACAGGGGCAAATACAGGAAATTTTTCAGGAAGCCAAATAAAAAAAAGTATATCCTTCCCCAATTTTTTAGTTGCGACTCATGAGCGCCCCCTGTATTTTCTAAATTTAGAAACTTCGGTAAATATATCGGTAAAAAAAGTGTTTTTTACCGATATTTTTACCGAGTGTCATAAAAGTTGTTATTATTGTACGGTTTTGGTAAAAATAATCTTTTTGATTCAGTGGTACGGCTTCAATACGGTTTTAGAAAAAAATTAACTACTTGTTTGTACGGTATCGGAAAAAAATCGTATTATGTCAGCACTATTAAGGTGAAAAAAAAAATTGTTCAAAAGTTCAAAACTAGAAAAGTTCAAAACTAGAAAAGTTCAAAACTAGAAAAGTTCAAAACTAGAAAAGTTCAAAACTAGAAAAGTTCAAAACTATCTTTCAAAAGCTAGAAAACGACTTTTCAATAATAAAGGAAGAAAATAAGTATTTAAAAAAAGAATTAGAGCAAATTAATTCCACTATTCAATTCCTAAGCGACAAATACGAAACAATGAAAGAAACATTAAACAATAATAAAAATAAAATATCCCCTCAAGACAATTTTAAACAAAAAGCAACAAATCTTGAAAACGAATATCTTAAAGACAAGATGGCAGAGTTAGAGGACAGAAGTCGTCGTAACAACCTTCGGTTTGAAGGAATCGAGGAAACTGAAGGAGAAACGGGGAAAAACAGTGAGGAGTAAGTGAAAAAGCTAATAAAAGAAAAACTAAATATAAACGAAGAAATACATATAGAACGTGCGCACAGAACCGGGAAGAAAGAAGACAACGACGATAAAATAATAAGAAGAAGAACTATAGTAGTTAAATTTCTAGATTATAAAGATCGTGAAACTATACTAGATAACTACAAAAAGCTGAAATTATGGAACAAAAAGATGTATATCAATGAAGATTTTAGTGAGAGAACAATCAACATTCGCAAACAACTATTCATTAAAGCCAAAGAAATACGTTCATCAGGTAATTTTGCCAAAGTTGTTTATAATAAATTAATCTCCAAGTCTTTCGAAAAGACTATCTGATTATCAAAAAAACAAAAACAAAAAAAAAAGGGTTTTATATATATATATATATATATATATGTAATATGTTCACATATGTGCGTACATATATACCAGTGTATATAAAAACCTTCAAATATTTTCAAAATAACAAAAACATACAAAATGGATTCAACTTATCGGAATGATTTTAAAAATATATATAATTTATTTCAAACAAATACTTTTAATTTAGACAATGAATCTGATCCAGATATTAATTATTTTAATGAGATTAATGGATCAAAATTCGAATGCTCTTACTTTTACCCAGATAAAATTAAAAGCATATTTAAAAATAATGACAATCGTGATTATTTTAATATAATCCACATTAATATCAGAAGTTTAAAAAAAAATTTTGATAACTTCTTAAATATGGTTTGTCAAAGGGAAATTTTTTTTAACGTTATTTGCTTAACTGAAACTTGGTGTACAGAGAAAGATTTTAAATCAAACTCTAATCTCCATCTTACAGGTTTTGAGTTTACAGTCTTCTTAGAGCGTAATGTTAATAAGCGTGGAGGAGGAGTTCTTTTTTACATAAAAGAAAACTTATCGTATAATATTCGAAGCGATATGAGTGTTTCTGATGATAATATTGAGACTTGGTTGAAATAATAAATAAAAAATCTAAAAATATTTTACTAAGCTGCTGTTATTGGCCACCAACCGGAAGAACTGAGTACCTAAGCAATTATATAGTTCATAATATAACAGAAAAAACTAGCCAAAAATAAGAAAAAAAATTATATACTGGGGGATTTCAACCTTGACTGCTTCCAGTATAATGAAAAAAAATATATAACAAAGTTTTATAATCATTAATTTGAAACGGGAACAATACCCATTATAAATAAACCTATTAGAATTACAAAGTCTTCATCCTCCTTAATTGACAACGTTCTTACCAATGACTATTTCAATATTACACTCAAAAAAGGTATTAATAAAACTGATGTTTCGGATCACTTTCCAATTTTTTTCTGCTTAGGCGCTGACCACAAAACAAATACGAATGGTGAAATATCATTAAAAAAACGAATTTATAGCAACAATAACTTTATTTAAATAAATTTATTTAATAAATTTATTTAAAGAGCAACTTTTACACCAAGACTGGAGCTATATAAACTTTAATGAGGATATAAATATCATCTACAAATCTTTTTTTAATATATTTTACAAAATATATGAAGCAAATTTTCCTATTCGAGAAATAGTTCTTAACGCCAAAGACATATCTTGACACTGGATAACTAAAGGAATAAAAAAATCATCAAAAATAAAACAAAAACTCTATATTAAATATCTTAAAAATAAAACCGACAAACATAAAAATAACTACACAGTTTACAAAAATCTATTTGAAAAACTCCGAAAAAAAGCCAAACAAATTTACTACTCTGACTTGCATATAAAACACAAGCATAATTTAAGGCGGGTGTGGCAAATAATGAAAGAAATTACTAGCAAACATAAGACAAACACAAATACGATGCCGAATGCTATAAAATTTGAAAATAAGTTAATTACCGATTCAAATGAAATCGCAGCCAAATTCAATAACTTTTTTTCGTCAATAGGACATAACCTATTAAACAAGATTCCTTATGTAGACAACCACTCTGTTGATGAATTTATATCATCACCAATTCAACTATAAATTTATCTAACTTATAATGAATTCGAAAATGCATTTAAATTATTAAAAAGGAATAAAGCAAAAGGGCCTGATGATATAAATGGAAATATTGTAATCGACTCTTTTAATGAGATTAAAGATATCCTCTTCAAAGTCTTCAAAGCATCTATTACTCAAGGATCGTTTCCAAATAGTTTGAAAATAGCCAAAGTAACTCCAATCTTTAAAACAGGTGACCATATCAACATAACAAACTATCGTCTTATCTCAGTTCTACCAGTCTTTTCAAAAATATTATCTTATTCATAATAAACTCCTTTATAAAAATCAATTTGGTTTTCAGAGAAACAGTTCTACTGAACACGCTATTCTCCAAGTAACACGCAGTATTGCCGATTCATTTAAAAATTCTCAATTCACACTAGGCATATTCATTGAGTTGTCAAAAGCTTTTGATACTGTTATTCATCATATTTTAATAAAAAAGCTAGAGAGCTATGGTATAAAAGATAAAACCCTAAATTGGTTTAAAAGCTATCTAAGTAACCGCAAACAATTTGTTTATAACAAAGAATCTTCATCGTAAATAATAAAAAATATAACATGCGGTGTCCTCCAAGGGTCCATACTTGGACCACTATTATTTCTATTATACATAAATGATCTTTACAAAGCTTCTACCCTAACGACCGTAAATTTTGCAGATGATACGAATTTATTTCAGTTGCACGAAAACATAGAAATACTTTTTAATAATATGAATAATAAATTAAAAAGAATATCATATTGGTTTAGAAAAAATAAATTGTCCTTGAATACGGATAAAAAAAAGTTTATACTTTTTCACCCAACCTCTAAAAAAAAGAGAATCCAAAATATCTTACCTGACCTATTCATTGACAATACAATCATAAAAAGAGAAAAATTTACAAAATTTTTAGGAGTCATAATAGATGAAAACTTATCTTGGAGTCAGCAAATTGATAGTATTTCAATGACAGTTGCTAAAAACATTGGAGTTCTATACAAAGCTCGATATATACTAAATAAAAAGCAACTAACTCAACTATATTATTCATTTATTCATTGCCATACAAACTATGCCAATATTATATGGGGAAGCGCTCACAAAACCAAACTTAAATCTCTCTATCGGCGTCAGAAACAGGCAGCTCGCATAATTATTTTTGGAAACCGTTTTTTAAGCTCAACACCACTTCTCATAGAAATGAAAGCTTTAAATATATACGAACTAAATATTTTAATATTTTATGTTTTATGTTTAAATGTAAAGAAAATTTATCTCCAAGTGTATTTATAAATCTCTATAATTTGAAACCAAAAAACAAATATGAACTTCGTGATATTTATTGAAAAATATTCAAGAGCCGTTTTGCAAAACAAAAATTGACCAGTTTTGTATTTCTTTATCGTGGTCCATTTCTTTGGAATAAAATAGTTTTACCTAACTTTGATTTTTCTTTTAAATGGTCTTATTCCTCCTTTAAAAAGAAAACAAAAGAAATAATCTTTTCAACACAAAATTATTTATTTATTTTTAGTATTTCAAGTTATTTGATATTTTTGTCGACTGTGTGATGAATATTATTTAAACAATATATGCTGAATACTTTATATTATAATATTGTTCAATAAAACAGGCTGGGTTTTCAAAGAAGATACGGATGACTAAAGTCACCACAATCTTTTCATAGAGCCCCTACAGGTAGATGCACCCCAAAAACCAAGGCACCTCAAAAACAACGCGGTCAGTTAAAAGGCTCTAAAAATTTAAATATGCATTTTAAAACCATATGAGAAATTTTTTCTCATAAAGGAATGTTTCAGCAACAATTAAAACAAAAGAAATCAATATTAACAATAAAGGAGTTTTTTTTACAACCGTTTTAAACTTAAAAAGTGCTGAGAAAAATAATTGAGTTTTAAGTAATATTGCTATAAAATATTGGTTTTTTAGACTAAGTTTGCAAATCCCATCTAGTTTGCTTATCTTTTATATGCTATTTACATAAATCAAACCATTTTTATTATAAGTAGAAGGGAAACTTGTAAAAAAAAGTTTAAAAATTACATTTTAACATGTGGTTTTTGGGGTGCGCTAAGAAAAAGTTAAAAAAAAAAAGTTTATCCAGAACAAGTCTTTACAACAAATTTAAAACAAATAGTTCATTCAATAAAAAAGATTTTGAATATCACAGTTATTTCTTTCTAGCAGCTGCAGATAAAATCATTTCTGGGTTTTTTCCATTTACTTTGCAGTTTGCTTTGCTGCAAATGGACCGCATTATATTGAGGCAGGTTGGACACTGCTTTAAGCCAAAAGCTTTACATTTTATCTCCTCGCAATAGCATTGAAGCTTACATGTTATAAAGAGTCTTGTAACTTCCTCTTTCTTTTTTGCAGCATTTTCTTTTTTTTCCTTTTCTTTTTCTTTTTTTCTTTTTATGCTTTCAACTAGAGTTATTACATCGCTTGCAGTCATTGATCCATGTACTTGGGTAACACGTGTTGCATCTTTTGTTAATTTTGGCTTTATCTTTTTGGTTGTCATAAAACCAGGTATTTCTTCCAGCTGAATGCTCTTTTCATGATGTTCATCAATCAACTCCATCGCTTGTTCAAATTTTGATTTCCAATAATTTGCTGAACCACGTCTTTTATCCGGCGAAGAAATTAGTGGAGAAGTCTGTTTTTCTGGTTCAATACAGTTTTCTGCTCGTTCGAATTTGTCTTTTTGCATAAAATCAACACTCAATGCATTTTCAGCAACACCAACCCTTTTAGCAGATTTTACAAGCGTTTCTTTGGTTGTCCACTTGTCCCATATATTAGCTAAAACTAACATAAAAGCTTCTTTGTTTAAGGAACAGATATCAGAAAACATAGAGTCTTTTTGCTTACGATACTCACTATGAATGTTCTTGTTTACTTGGTCAAGAAGTTGAGTAACTCCTGTTGTGTCTGGTGGAGTAAGAAAAAGATGAATTCTTTTGGACTCCAAAAAAGATAATACATCAAAGTCTAGTCTAGAGCTATGTCCATCTGATAATAAGACGATGGGTCGCTTAATATTTTTTTCATTTAAGTAGACATCAAACTCTTTCAATGCTGCCAAGAAAGATTCATGGGTTGATACTCCATTATCTGTAGTTGTGACCAACAAATTGGGAATTTTATTTACTGCTTCTGTTGGAACCATAGAACTAGTAATACCAGTACATTTAAATATTACCTGACACATACATATGTCGCCTAAAAATAAAAAATAAAAAATTTTTTTAATGCTTGTATTTATTTATATTCAATTTTTTCTTGAACCATAACATATTATAGCATACCTGAAAATGAAACAAATGGTTGAATTGTGACACATTCTCTGTTTTCTCTATACATTCTTTGACATGCATCTCCTTTGCCAGCATAAAATAATCCAGAAGTGGTACCATCAATTCCATAATTAATAAACTGGGGTGTTTCATCACAATTAAATATTCGGCATGTATCAACAGTGCCATTCCAAACCCCTGTTTCAATCATTTTTTCATTTATCATAATACCAACATCTACTAGTTCTTTAGCAAGGGAATCTGAAATAATGTTATTATAGGGAAATGAACAAATTAAAAAAAAAAGTACATTCAGATTTATGAATTTATATTTGTTCATTAATAACTTACCTAAATGATTACATGCCATTTCTCTTGAACAATTAAGTGCACGGTTTATCGAGACACTCCCTTGGCGTTTGATTGTAAGGCTGCTATGTTTAGCATTAAAACGAAGCCAAAATGATCGACTCAATCTATAAAATGGAATATTTACATAAAGAAAAGAGTCATATTACCCGTCTTACATACTTTTATAGGATCATTGTAGATTAAATGAATTCAATTAAACTTACTTTCCCTTTTCTAGAGTAGCTCGAGCATTTAATGATAACTTTTGAAACTTCCGTCCACCTTTCATTTTTGTATTAGTGTAATCTCTCACACGAAGCACATTAATAATTAATTTGGTTATGTCCTGTTTGTTAATTGCCTGTAAACATCTGTTCTTATTTTTTATAAAACGCACAATAGATGCTTCTTCATCATCTGTAAGTATAGTACAATAATCTCTTTCTTTTCCATTAATCACTTTTCCATCTAATCGCCTGTTGATTGTCTCTCTATCTTTAATAAGGGGAAACAAACCTGTCTTTAATGCTGCTTGTCCCCTTCCATTAAATTTTTTGCACCAATTTATTGCAGCTTCTAACTATTTTTATCATTTGTGTGTTTTCTGGCCACTATGGCATCAGCTTTAGTACTGAGATTTCTTGATTTGTTTATACGTAGATGTAATGCAGATGATGGTTTCATTTTACTTTATAATATTATATTAAACAAAATTCTAAAACAACAAAAAACATAACATAGTTCAATGGTAGTATTTCCACAATACATTAACTTTTTTTTTTTTTTTTTTTTTTTATGATGACAAAGAGCTACTATCTTAGAGTACATCCTAAAATTTTTTTATTGAATTATTTTATATATTTTCTAAAATATTCAAATAACCAACGTGGTTTTTGGGGTGCACATGATGTGGTTTTTGTGGTACATTGAAGAACATCCTAAAAATTTAAGTTAGCAATGATACAATCATCCTAAGACTAATTTATTATAACTATCTTCTACAAAAAATCAGGTCTTAATTCCAAATAGTTTAGATTTTATAGCCAATTTTGTCAATGTTGTTTTTGGGGTGCATGAAAAAAAGTGTGGTTAACTTCAACATTCTAGAAAAAGAACTCAAGCGAGACTTAAAAAACCATACCTACCAGGAAGAACCCTATTTAGGCTTATCTTTCAGAACCCATATTAACAAAATTATGATCTGTCCCTAGAAAATAAATCTAGACCCTCCTACTTTCGCGTGGCTTTTGGGGTGCAACCACCTGTATGTGGGCTTTACAAGTTTAAAATAGAATAAGATTGTTAAAAGTACAAATGTACAATTCCAATATAATAAAAAGATAAAAAAAAAAAAAAAAAAAAACTTTCATAAATATTTACATTTAAAGAAAGAAAGGAAATAGTATTAATATAATTTTAACAATAGTCATTTAAAAAATACTGACATTGTTTTAAATATATAAAAAAAAAGACACAATTTTTTTTTAAACTAAGAATAATGGAATTCGATGTTCATTTTGAAAAATTGCAAAATTATTTATAATGTTTAAAAGTTTCGTTTTATTAGAAACTTAAAAGAGTTTAATGATTTTACCGTATTTAAATGTTTGGTTTTTTGAAATGTGTTCCATAGTTTCGGTCCACGGTATGCTATTCCATATTCAGAATACTTGCTCCTAATACTAGGCAATTTATAAGTATTCCATTGGTTTATTCTAAGAGAGTAATTATTGTTAACATTTTTTGTAAATTTATTATCAAATGTTTTCGGAATCAGGCTGTTATTATATTTATACATAAAAATTAAGTATTAGTAAATATTAATTTCATATATACTCATCATTTGCATGTCTTTTATTAGTGGTTTTGCATGTTCATATTTATTTTTCTTATATATTAGTCTGCATGCATGTTTTTGTAGAGAAAATATTTTTTTAAATTTTGTTGGTTGAGTGCTAGCCAATGTAATATTAGAAAAGTAAATAAAACAATGTATTAGGCCAAAATATACTAGTTTCAGACTTTCTGATGTTACATATAAGCGAATACGGTACATCAAACCAACTGTTTTACTAATAATGAGGAAGCCATGATAAATTTTCATCAATAAGAATTTCTAAGAATTGTATTGACTCATTTTTTCCAATTAGTTTATTATCTAAAATTAAATTTGGTAATCTTAAGGGAAGGTTTTTCTGTTGTGATTTTTTATGGAATAGAGTAGACTTTGTTTTATCTACATCAAGTGACAATTTATTAGCCTTAAACCATTCATTGACATTCCTTACAAGACAATCAAAGTAAAAATTTTTTAAAGTTTCAATACAGTCAAAGTAAAAATGTTGTGAAAAATTTTAATCAATTTTAACTAAAACAATTAAAATTTGAAAAAATTAGTTTTGACAACAAATTATGCACAAAAATTTGTTGATAAAATAATAAAATGAGATGATGATAAAATATAAAAACATCAACAATAAAATAATTTTTCGTTTGCAAAATCTTTTTGCTCTTTTTAAACTTTTCTCTGATTAAAGCATTCCTTTAGTGGTTTTATTTACCATAAAGATAACGTGTAAGGTGAAACTGAACTTTAAGTATAGTGAAACTGAACTTTAAGTTTTCAAAAAAACTAAATAGTATTATATTATATCAAAAGAAAAAAAAAATTTATTAAAAATAGTTTGATGCTACTCATACTTCCGTCTTTCATTTAAAAAAAAAAACTGTCTGCAAAAAACTGAAAACTGAAAATGTTGCTTATTCATCATCAGCAGCATCTTTCGTACAAGAATCTGACAAACCTAAAGTGGAGATACTAGGTTAAATTATGTAATTGGACTCTTTGTAAAATGAACTACAAAATTTCCTATTGACCTTAAGTGTTGTTTGCTAACTGATTTTTATCAGCCTCATCCGCCCTACGATTTAAAAGGTGACATTTTTAAATACCTAGTATATTCTATGGTTATCATTTTCACCTAGATAAAAAGGTGTTTTGGCTATTTTATGCCTAACTTCTGCAACCAGTTTAAAAAAATTTAAGGTGCCTTCATTACTAATCTTTTCTCAAAGTATAAAAATGTTATTGAATGTACCAAAAATGATACTAGCTCAGCATAGCATTGTGGGGCTCAACGAGATGCTGAACATAATGACAATTAATATGATGAACATAGTGACGATTAATGTGCTGAACATAATGACGAGTGAAATGTCCAACAACAACAATATCGTGTAATTGAAATTTAAGAAGAAAACTTTCGATGAACTGCTGAAGAAGCCCGTTGCGTGTCGCATCGAGCGCAGAAATATTTAACTTGTCTAGACATGCTCTACGGAGAGGTGTTGTAAAAGCTGCTAACAATGCTGTTGAATTCTTGGTTAAAGTCGATGAAATAGCAGATATTATAGGAACTGGATGGTTGTCTCTGAGGGTGCGGTTTGTTGATGCATCCAAAGAGGAGTTTATGATTCGTGAGAAATTTCTTGGATTTTTACCTTTAAAAGTATGAACGTTGCTATGATATCTGATTATATCTTTCAAAATTGAAAGAAAATTTGGCCTTCTCTTTAATAATTTGCTCGGTCAAGGTTATGATGGATGCTCGACACCTATGATCGAACCTTGACTGAAAAGAAAATAATATTCAGGCAATTGGCTCGTTGGAAAGTCAATTTTGTGAACCCAACAGTGTACAATTTAACTTAAAATTTCTGCATCCGTCTAAATTATGCAAATTGAACCTAACATTTTCAAGAGATTATTTCTACGACTAATAACGTATACAGCATATATAATTTTGAAACTGGTGTCCTAAGTTGGTTTGATTTTGGAACGCTCGAGTATATGACAGTAGCCAAGATTTCATAAACTTATTACTTTTTACAAAATTTCATCCAAGTATCAGGTATGATTTACTAGTGTTAACTTTACCAGAAACAACAGGTGAAGCGATTGTTTAGAACATTAGGTTGAGTTGAAAAAAGGTCAACGATGTCAAATGACCGTCTGTCAGGATTGTGCATGTTAAGCGTACACAGAGACAAAATAAACTGCAACAAAAAAGAATTTATAGATAAAGTTGTTGGCATGTTTGGTATTGATACCAGAAAACTTCAATTCTTGTTCTAGATATTGAGAAAATTTACACATTACAGGTATTATTTTTATGTATAAGTATAAGAACAACCTCGTACCAAGCGTTTTTTCAGATATTTTCTTGATATCATTCTCTGAAATATATAATCTGCGTTCAAATACCAGGTACAACTATCACCTAGGAAAATTTAAATCACAGCAGTCAAGTTTTCTAATTACAAACCGTGGTCTATCAATATGGAATCATTTCCAAAATAAAAATATTAAAGATCTAAAAAAATTTTATCGTTTAAACGGCAAACTAAAATGCACCTTATTAATTCCTGACATATATATTATGGTTTACAAATTTATCGATGAATATAATTTTAGTTTATATCTTATTGACATTAGCATAAACATGTAAATCTTAGAAATTTTCACCGTGTTTGGAAGTTAGCTATCAAACATGTTTTTATTGAAGAATACAAAAACAATTCTATGAATACATAAAGCTCCTCTATGTTGACCCAGGGTAAGCCGCACAAAGCAGCTGGCCAAGAAAGTTATAATAAAATGATTCTTTAAAGAAATGTGCGGAAACGTAAATCAACTGCTTTAGTTATTTTCAATCTTTGTAATCTTTTTCATATATCTTTATCTCAGATGATTATCTGATTATCTTATTTATCTCAGATATTGTTTTCGTTCTTTGGGCTTTCTCTATAATTGCAATAACTTTTTTTAGATGAGTAGACCAAACCTGTACTGCAAAATCTAGATGTGGGCGAATGTATGTAAGGTACAGTGTTTTTCATAAAACTAGTCTGCGGCTACGAAAATCTTTTTTTCTGTATTTAAATTTTCTGTATTTGAATTATCATGAATCATAAATCCTAAACTATTGAAACAAGGATTCTGGAACTTTACAGTTTCAATGTCTTCAAAATCTATTTTATCCAAAACAATGGAAATTGGTTTGTATATACTGACAAACTCAAGCAGAGTTTCACTAATACATCCTTGCAATTTAGGAACTTTTGTAATGTTAAACATACTATGGTACACTTTCATTTTCTGAATCAGTACCACTACATGGAACATAAGCACAAATTAAGTCTGTCTTTACGAATAACGGATAAGAAGTTGTTCTATATCGAGAAAAGTTTGTTTTATCTTCTATTTTAAGTGCATTACATTTTTTATTTTGTAACGTACCATGGTGTAATAATTCTTGTACCATTACTGTCATGACATCAAAACAAACACTGTTTACCAAATATAGCAGCTGCACGTTCAATACTAAATATTTCGAAAAGTGGTGTGCAGTTTTTTGAATGTTGAATTTTTTTTAATTACTGCTGAAGTGATTTCCATAAATTCCAGTAAAAACAAGTTTTTAAACGTAATAAATATTTGCTTGTAGTGAGAATTTTTAGGGTCGCAATACACTAATATCTTTTAATTTATGTTTGATATAAAAGCACTCTTATACATTTGTCTTATACATTGATTGCAGTTGATAATGAGAGTTTTTATATCAAATTTGTCACCCATCTTTGCCTAATATTTCCTTGTATATATTTATTGTATTATTAAAAGAAAAATTACGGAACAAAAAAATATTTGCTTGAAATTATTTTGCGTTTAATAACAAAACTTTTGATTTATTTTGTACATATTTTTTGTTAATAGTTGGTATTTTTTGATGATGAGGTGGCGGTGTAGGTGTAGTTCAAAATTTAAAAGCCAATAGCGCTTCGATAAGCTTAGCATATTTATGGTTAAATTAATTTTGGATCATTTTAAAATAATGTTTGCATTCGCAAAGTAAAGACTTTATTATTCAGTTGAAATATAAATTGAAATTTATTTAATAACAGTTTTAATGTCTGAAATAGAAAAATATTATTGTCTTTATTCATTAAATGACTCTGAATCCCGTTTTTCAAGATTTACTGCTTTACAAAAACAGCAAGCAGAATGGCTGATAAATAAATAATAACCGAATTTCGGGTCGGGTTGTTTTAAAGTCCACCACACACACACTCACACACACACACACAGATATATATATATATATATATATATATATATATATATATATATATATATATATATATATATATATATATATATATATATATATATATATATATATATATATATATATGGCAAGCTGTTAAAGATTTGGTTATTGCGGTTTTTAAGGTTAAAGTCTAATTAAGCCAGGACAGGAGATCGATGTAATTTATTCAAAGGTAGCATATCTAAACCATATTGATATACATATTGGTTTACTTTGGACTCAAAAAAGGTTCAAAACATATAAGGTACTGATATTATATTATTTTATTTGGTAAATCTATTTCCCCTTGTTTTGTATAATGAATATAATATAACTATTAGTTTGTTCATATTTTCGTTTTTAGACTTCTTCGCTTAGCGATATCCAAGGAAAAAATTATGCAATGTTTAAAAAAAGCAAATACTGCAAAGTGCAATGATGAAAGGAAACTTGAAAAACGAAGCATTGATGTTTTGAAGAAAACTATTGTTTATAGAGAACATTATGTTAATAATAATGATAATTATTCATATAACTAATAACAATGACTGACATGCTAATTTAATCAATATTCTGTTGTTCTTTTTTTCTTTTTTTTCTTTTTTTTTTTTGTGAATATTATTCCTTGGTTTTTATTAAAATAAGAACTAAAACATTATGCCCAAGTATTACCAGTATTATATATACACCTGTTTTAAATCATGATATTCTTATAGAGAATATTCCTATTAAATATCTTTTAACAACTGCAAAGGGAAATCCAATAAAATTTCAAACAGGATGAAATAGGATTATTGTTTATATAATACTTTAAGATATTATTCATTTGAAGTCTTATAAGACACTGAATGAACAATATCTTAAAGTTTTTTATGTACAGAAATCCTGTTCAATCTTGTTTCAAAATCTAATAGGAGTTTTCATCCTATAAGACACCGAATGAACAATATCCTATAGCTTTATATGTACAGAAATTCTATTCAAATAAGTAGGATTTCTGTGCATATAAAACCATATGATATTGTTCATTCAGTGACTAATAGGATAAAACTTCAACAAGGTTTTGGAACAGGATTGAATAGGAATCCTGTACGCCCATGTAGGACTTTTATATACGGTGTCTTATAGGATAGGACTCCTATAAGATTTTGGAACAGGATTATATAGGAAACATATCCTAAAGAAATTCCTAAAGGTTGTATATAATTGCATTATCCTATAGAAAATCATGCTCCAATTTCTTATTTGAATTTCCTTTATCTTTTTTAAAGGATATCCTATAAGACTTTTTTGTTCATGAAGAAAATAAAGCAATAGTCATCGTTCAAGAAACCTTTGTTGTAGTGTGTGAAGAGTTGCCTGGATGAGCTTATTTTAACCTTCTATTTGAAGAAATAAAGTCTTGTAGGCTAGATCTAAACAACTGTAGAGGTCAAGGCTAAGAGAACGGGCATAATATGATTGCGATTTGAAATGCTGTTCAAGCTCGAATTTCATCAAAATATCCACAAGCCTCATTTATACTCTGTGGTTAATACAGCTTGAGTTTATTTATATCATTTAAGCTAAAACATTGATGAAGCCTAAATTGTCGTTTAGAGTTATTCAAAGAATCTATACAATTTTTTCTACATCAATTATGCGTTGGCCATTTCCCAAGCATAAAAGAATCTTTCAAAAATGATGTTTTTCTGCCAATAAATGACATAATTGAATTATCTTTATAAACAGAATGGAAAATATTTTTAAATACGAATTAACGTGGGGATTAACTTGAATACGATACGAATTAAAGTGAGGATGCTTGATCTGAAAAAGCTACCATCAAAGGACAAACTTAAAGAGGGTTATAAAATATTACAAGAACACCTGGCTGTAATTAAACATTTTAGATATAAATGGGGAAGAACTGTACAATAAAAATTCAACACGTCAGTTTGATTACTACTATTTTTGACTAATGTTGTGAGCAGAAGTTAACAAACCCTACCAACATTAGAAGCACTCAATATAATCAAAAATATCGACAAAAAAGACCTTTTTACTAGTCTGTGATAGCATAACGCATATTGCTGACAATTCCAGTGATTTCAATAATTTAATACTTTGACCGACATTGAACGTAGTTTCAGCAAGTTAAAATTAATTAAAACCTACCTACGTACATCAACGACGCTAAAAATATTGCCGTCGCTTGCGATACTCAGGGAGTATCGCAACGAGAAGGCGAGAAAACTTAACCTTTGAAAAATTATTATTATTTTCCATAGAAAAATCTTTAAGAATACTGCTACAAACTTACCCTTTTGTCAGTAATTTAAGTTTTCATTCAAAATTTTTATTTTTTAATTTCCTTTATTTATTACAATTCTTGAATCAAATTTATATATATTTATCTTTATGGTAGATTGGTAGGTAATGTATTAAAGTATTAAATTATTAAAGGCTGCGCAAAAAACTTACGAAACTATTACTAGAGGGAGAGGGGCGCCACAACTACGTTTGTCTTGGGTACCACCAACCCTATGGACGGCCCTGTAGATGACTGAGTTCATAATCTAGTTTTAATTATTCGTGGTCGACTGTTAACGTACAATTTGCTTTGTTTGGGTGAACAAGAACTCGGTAACTTGCGTTAATGTATATATAAACTTTTTGTTGTTCGACACATTTAAAAGCCATTTTTTTTTGTTGTTAACGTTTTCTTTTACTTATATACAAAGTTCACGTTTACAAAAAAAAAATGTTCGCTTTATAGCATATAATACAACTTGTGACTCTAGCATATAATACAACTTGTGACTCTTGTCGACAACTAATAAAAAAACGTTATAATAATAGAAAATCACAACTTGTAACTTTTGTCAATAATTAGCATGCTAATTATTAATGACACACAACATCCCCCTTAGCTCAACAAGAGCTCATACGTAATCGTTTTACTTCCGATTAGGAAGTACTCTCCTTCATTAGCGAGTGAATTGAACAGGCTGGGACTCTGTCTCACCATCTGTTGAATAGTTTTGATCGCTGCCCGTACTATTGTCATTTTTACCATTATCCGGAGGAATTATTTGAAGATTTGGATCATCATTGAAAATGTGTTTTAAGCTCGTTTCAGGTAGTTTAAATAGTGTTGAATCATAATCATCTGTTGTATCGTCTTCTTTTGTGTCTACACGACGATGTTGCAGATGAGAAAAATGTCGTGGTAACGTATGTCCGTTCACATCAACTTCAGCTGTTAAACCATTATGCAATGCCACTATACTTCCTTTCAGCCATCGTTGCGTACACGGCGTTATGTGCTTGGGTTTCACCCACACTTTGTCGCCAACTTTCCATTCACGACACTCTGTCATCGACTTTTGTGTTGATTCGATTTTGTCGATTCCAGGAATTCGAACTCCTTTGTGATGTTGGCAAAATATTTCAAAAGGTGTGCCGTGTTTTCGATGGAACGTTATTGATTAAAAATATAGACATGGGAATACTACATTTTACTTTTGCATTTGTTCTTTTTACCGTCCGATGAACTCTTTCAACTATTCCATGGTTTTTCAACAGCTCGATAGATGAGCCTTATTTCCCATTTCGCAGCCATAGTTTGCATAAGCTGAGATCTAAATGACTTAGAGTTATCTAGAAGAACTTCAGAAGAAGGTCCAAATGTTGACCATATTGTTTCTAACGCTTGAACAACCATAGTTGCTCTTTCGTCGCTTAATGGTGTCCATAACGTATATCTGCTTGGGGCGCAATCAATACAAGTGTGATATAGCGATGAATCAACATGAGTAACATCGCAGGCTACTCTTTCCCATACTTTGCTAACAGCAAGATTTCCTTTATCCCACAACATTACATTAGGGTCAATCGAATTACATTCATCGTATTCAGCGACAACCAGTTTTACTATGTCTCTGGTAACGTGGATACCAACGCGCATACATAACTCCATACTCTTGGAAACTCCCATGTGTGCTAATGAATGAATTTTTTGATATTTTGAATTCTGCTGTTTATCGTACTTATAAATGGTATAACATTCTTGTGTTGCAACTTTGTTTTTTATCCATTTTGTTGGCACTCTTGTGAGTTCATCTGCAATATTTTTAGTTGTTGGTACCCATGTAACAGTTACATTTATGACATAATCCTCGACCAGTTTTTCAAATATTTGAAGTCTTCGTCGAATTAACATTTCGCAGCACATTTCACAGGTTTGTCACGAGTCAATTCAGAATTTAACCAACTAAATACACTATGAGAATCAGTTTTAATAGAGACATCACTTGGATTTTATTTCAATGCCATATTTAGACCTTCAATACATGCATCTAATTCGGCCACATTGATATGCATTACATTAGACTTTGGTCGGAGCCATGCCGCATCTTCTATCTTTCTGTCACCTTGCGTTATCACAACTCCTTTTGCCAGCGAACTTGCATCGCACCATACAGTTAGAGATGCATTTGGTTTAACATTCCATACACTTTTTGCCGGATCGCACTTTACGACTTTATCTACAACTTCCTGCATAATTTCGATAACATACTTATTCGTAATAGGTTCATACCAACCTGCTTCGTTTGTACATCTTTTTATATAGCTGCATGCCGATCTCAACCATCCAGCAACTGGTAGATTAGCAATCAGATTACCACATAATGAGAATATATCCCTCTTTGTGAGCACAGATTTAATAATAGGAAGCTCGCGTCCTCTCTTCCAAAACATCTCCTTTGTTAATGGATTTACTGTGACTTCTAATCCTAGTGCACGAACTGGGTTTTCGCCAAAATATTCAGGTGCTTGTGCATGAAGACCCCATTTCTTCATATGTATCACCAGCTTTCTTCCATTTCCATTGGTTGCTAGGGTGTCATCAATGTATCCTCTTGTTGTTTTTGCCAGTGCAGAATCTTGTTGGAGAACATACCGCAATATTTAGCTCATCATCACTGGTGCCAAACTTAAACCAAAGCCCAAACGTGTAAGTACATATCGCTGATTTTTATAGATGACCGTCTGGTAAGGCCAATGCCTTTTATGCATATGAATTTGTAAATATGCTCTTCTTAGATCCACTACCGAGTCATTGCTGTTTTTACTCATGAGTCTCCACTCCCTCATTGCATCATTGATGACATCAGCATCTCTTGTAGAGACTTTTACATACGTGTTAAGCTCACGATAATCAAGCACAGGTCTTATCTTCTTTTTATTATCTTGAATGACACACATTAACGGTAGTAGACCTTTAGGTTTTCCCATAATTTTATTGTCATATTTGATGAGTATACCTTCTTTGATCCATTCATTTATTTCGTTGTTAAACGCCTCACAATGTTGGTCAGTTACATTATACTGAATTGTTCTATTTTTCATTTTAGGTTCGTTGTCCCACTCCCAACTTACAATCCATTTTTTGCCATCAAAATAAGCTTGTTCCAATTTCAATTGTCGCAACACGAAGTTTCGATGGCAACTCAATCAAAGAATTACTCAATTTCAGTTTTCCAGTACCAATTTGTAGTCCATCACACGTCTTTATTAAGTCCATAACTATAATCATGTCGTATTTGATTATTACTTCATTCACACTGGTGGCATATTTTAGCACGCATCGAATTATTCCGCCCATTGTTGCAACATTTACTACACGAATCACTTTATAGTCAGGCGGCAGTAACTTCTTGGTGATGATTGATTGCGAACAACCAGTATCCACAAGCGCTGTAGCTTTTCTTCCGTTTATTACCAAGTCAATAGTAGGTAGTCTTGTTTCGGGACAAGTTCTTGTAAAGATACCTAATGCGAACTCGTCCCATTTAAGTTTTCCTGGTTTCTTTGACGTTTGTAGCAGTCTTTTGCAGCATGTTTATGCAAGCATTTTTTGCATAAAGAGGTACATTCACGTGCAAAGTGATTTAAGGATTCACAGTTGTAACATCGAATTTCTTTCTTTCTTCGTGTATAACTTGTCGTTCCAGTCGTCCGGTGAATCGCATTTAATTCTTCATTTACAGATAAACATGCAGCATCTAATCTTGTTTGTGCAACCACGGATGCAGTCTTGACACAATCGTCAAAGCTCAATGCATCGTCTCCCCGAAGAATGGCACGCAGAATGGCACCATCATTAATGCCAATTATGAATTGGTCACGAAGTCGGCCATCTCTCTCTGAGGGCAAGAACTTGCAGTCTTGAGCTGCTCGAATCACTCGATGCGCAAACGTCTGTATAGATTCTTCAGTACCTCGGTAAATTTTTCCAAACTCATACCGTGAGATTAACGATGATTTTCTTATTTCCAACGTTTCCAATTTCGTAACCAATTCTTTGTACGAAACACCCTCTGGAACTTCCGTTGCTGTTAATTCTTCCATGGTCTTGTAAGTCTTTAACGGCAGAGCGGCAAGCAAAAACGCTACGTGTTGATCTGAAGTTATATTGTTTATTGCAAAGAAGGAAGGCTAGCTTGTTGTTCGACACATTTAAAAGCCTTTTTTTTTTTGTTGTTAACGTTTTCTTTTACTTATATACAAAGTTCACGTTTACAAAAAAAAATTGTTCGTTTTATATAGCATATAATACAACTTGTGACTCTTGTCGACAATTAATAAAAAAACGTTATAATAATAGAAAATCACAACTTGTGACTTTTGTCAATAATTAGCACGCTAATTATTAATGACACACATTACTTTTATGAGCTCCATAAAGCTTTTACAAATTTTTTGACTCCAGCGTGGGTAGAGTTAACAAGTATGATTTAATCAGAATATGCTACAACACCTGCATAGTTTCCATAGATACAATACTTTCATTTTATATGAGTTTAAGTAAGCTTTGAGTATATATATATATATATATATATATATATATATATATATATATATATATATATATATATATATATATATATATATATATATATATATATATATATATATATATATATATATATGTATATATATATATATATATATATATATATATATATATATATATATATATATATATATATATATATATATCAGACAGGTTATGAGACAAAACTGATTTTTGTCTCACTCCTTGGGTTGGATAAATTAGATATGATTTGCATCCTAGATAAGATACAAAAGAATTTTTTCATGCTATAATGACAATATAGTATTACCAACATAAAGAGGTAATTTTTTATTACAGTGTAGTTTCTATATAGTTTATAATTAGGTTAATATCGTATAGGTCGTGAACCTCAGTTTTGAAAAACTTTATTTTAATAACTTTTAAATTTTATATTAACTTTAAAAAAAATTTTTGATAAAATTTCACACATATTATTCTGATGACACATTTATTTTCCTTTCACTTTCAGTAAATTAAAAAGTCTATAATTTAAACTCTTTTGCTAAATTTGAATGGTAGCGCAGTAGCACTTTTGATATTTTATTTTGGCAGCAACCTCAGCAAGCTACAATATTCGCTGAGAGAAAACGCTTCTGCAACTCCGCTACCAAATGGATGGAAAGCAATTGCAAAAACTAGCATATGGGCGCCAAAAAATTGCGAATATTAACTTAAGTGCAAGCTGGCATTTCGTACTTATGCCAATGTGTTCAAATTCTTTTGGCGCATTTATACCAGTTCGCATTTATGCCGATTCGCACTTATGCCAGTTTTGGCAACCGCTTCGCACTTATGCATGTTTGCACTGACGCCAGTTCGTACTTACGGTATTCGCACTTATACCAGTTCGCGCTTATTTAGTCGTCCCCAAATGGAGTGTCCGCATGCTGATTAAATTGCGCTACCGCTCAGCTGTGCCATTTAGTTTATACTAAAACTTTACGAAAACAAAAAAAAAATTAACAAGATTGATTTATTTACATCAAAAAGATTTAAACTACATAAAAACATAATAATTCGAGTTATACTTGGTCACGCAAATGAGTTGACGGTTTTAACAATCGTTTCTATTCCTTCTGATATTTGTTCTTCATTTAGAATTAGAGGTGGAGAAAAACGAATAATATCACCATGTGTTGGTTTTGCTAGTAGACCATTGTCGCGAAGACGTAAACACACATCATAAGCATTATAATCTAAAATTAAAGTAATTTCTGTTATTACACGCAATAATAATGATTTAAATCAAATAGGGAAAGAACCATGGTGGTAAAATCGTTATGTTGTTACTGTTACGGGCAAATTGATGAGAAAAAGCTTTCAAATCACTAACAGATGAATTCGTAAATTTTTCATTAAATCGTGACAGAAAATACAGAAAAGATTTGTTAGCTCTTATTGATCCATTTTTGTTCTTGAATAATTTTTCACTCGTTTCATTGTTGAAAAGAAACGTCTTCCTTCACACGAAGTAGCAAAGATGCTCAAATAAATTTGAAATGCAATGCATACATTTTGGAAGACAGCGGTTTTTTTCAAGGTTTTTCCTAAACACTGATTTTAGTTACTCCTCTGTATCCGTTTCAGCATTTCAAGCACATGATGATATCATCATCAGCTTCTAAATCCCAATGGTAGTGTTGAACAAGATAAACTAACCTCGCAAGAAAATATTTCATGTCTGACATACTTTTCAATTGTTCTCTGGTATCAAAACTGTATATATGTCACTGACTCACAGTGGGCCAAACAGCTGTTTTCATGGACATTGGTTCATGACTTTTAAATGAAAGGTGCTATGGGGTTAGTTAAAGATTTTTCGGAAAGAGGTTTAAGTGAAAATTTTTGAAAAACTGAAATATAATTTTACTGCAACATATTTAGGTCATAATTTGGAAAAACAAAATATTTAAAATTTCATAAAAATTGCTTTTTTATTGTTTATAACAAATATATATATATATATATATATATATATATATATATATATATATATATATATATATATATATATATATATATATATATATCATATATATATATATATATATATATATATATATATATATATATATATATATATATATATATATATATATATATATATATATATATATATATATATATATATATATATAAATAGATGTATATAAATATGTATGTATATTTTGTAATACAACGACAACATTTTAATAAATTAATAAAACAAATTATCAAAAGAAGTACTAAAATTCATAATTTATTTTAACACTTTAAAATGTGTTTTCAGATAAAATGTTATTAGAGACATTTTGACAATATCTATCAAAATATCTTCTTTCGTTAGAAAATTTGCAGAATGACTTTGACTTGTATTTCTTGTCACAAAAAATTGGATCAGAAGATATCCATATTCTGTTAATGGTGTCTGTTAAATAGGGTACCTTTTCGGTTCTAAAAATAGATTTTTGCAAAGCTTTTTGAGATCGAAATGCGGACAAACATTGCTGAGAAACAAAAGAATTTCCTCAAAACGCTAGTGGTTGTGGGATTGATATTCGGACAAAAAAACAATTAGACGTCACCAAAATTGACTCCCAAATTGTCAATAGGTACCCTATTGACAATTTGGGAGTTTTTTCTTGAGAGTCGAGTTTGTATCGATCTTAATATTTTGTTATTACCTTCTAACCCTAACTTATCAGGATTTTCCAAACCTCTTTCCTACTTATTCAAAATTAGTTTCCAAGAGTGACCAATAAGTTTGTGCAGTGATGGTGTTATAACGATCCATAGTCCATTTAAATTTGTTTTTGTAACAGCCGGAAACTCACTTACTAGGAATATATAAAAATCTTTACAATAGCTTTTAACTTTCCTCATAAAATTATGATCCTCAAAAATTTTCCTTATAAATTTATGATTTTCATACAAGTTTCTTTTTAAGAAACTTTTATGAGAATCATAAATTTACTTGAAGAATTACAATGCACCAATCCTTTGAAATGTTGCAACATATTGTACATTAATTAAATCTCTTTTTGATTTTTTGTGCAACAGTTCTCTAACTACCTGTTGTTGCTTTTTCTTTTTCCGTTGTATCAGGATAGCCCCATTTTATACCTGTTTTTTTAACCGGTTATAAAATGGGTTTTAAAAAAAATTAGTTAAAATACACTAATATTTTGCTAAATTTTAGTTGTTTCAGTAGGTATTACATGTAAATAAAATTTTGTGCAACAATCTATGAAGTTAAAATTTCCATTTCCATAACCTGCAGTCTAAGGTTGTTTCTACATAAAATTAACACATTGGCTCAGCTTATATAGTGACATTTATTTTAATATAAAAATAAACTATAATATAATAGCCAAAAATAATTTTTATGTATTATTTATACCTATTACCTATTTTTTGCAATAAAAATTGATATTCAAATTAATACAGTTTCTGAACAAATCATGCTTTTAAAATAATTTTTCTTTTAATGAACTGAAAATTTATTTGGCTTTCAATAACAACTAAGTTAAGTTTATTTTGGTAAAACTAATTTTTGTCCACTATGTCCATTGATTAGCCCACTGTGTGACTTCATCAAAAAACTATGCACATTCTATCATTCCAGTTTCTCTGACACAAATTTCTCTTGAAACTTCATATTCTTAAAAAGTTTTCTTTTTACCATAAAAGTCAGAAAAATCGTGCAAAACTGAATTTTGTTTTAATTTTTTATTTCATTTAATTAAATTTTTTTTATAGGTTTAAAAACGGTTTTTTTCGGTTTTTTTTCAAAGATCAAATTTTGTAGATCCATTTTTCTTCGTCAGTCTAGGGCAAATGTCTTATCTACCTCGTCCTTAATCCGACCCTGTATCCTGGTAAAAATCTAGAAAAACATCCTTAATGATGTTAGTTAGATAAAATAGCTATCAACTTAATTTCTCCTGAAAAGTTATTCAGGGTTGAGAACTAAACACTTCTTTTCAGTCCAAACTAAACACTTCTTGCAATAATAGATAAAATAGCGAGAAATTAAAAAGCGCGGTTTTTAAATCCGTATTAAACGGATTGTAGCGTATTTTAAGTTACACTGATAGGCTATTGAACTAAATTGAAATGATTTAGTATTGCTATCTTTTAACTATAAAGTGATTGAGGATACTGTTTAACAAAATAAAAAGTAAAAAACTTTGGCAATTAATTATCTTGAGCTCACAAAACAAACATTTTTTTTAAAAATGGTAGAAATGGCAAAGATTGGTTATATGCTCTTGAACTGAATTGGTGTTCACAATAGATTTTTGAAATATTGTAGAAAATAACTTTTTCGGCCATTCAATAACGTCAATTTTTGAAGCTAAAAGAAATATACTAGATTTTTTTTTTGCTGGGCCGGAAATGTTTTCATGATTTTGAAATTTCAGTAAAAAAGTTGCTAATTCATAATTAAATCATAAACGTTTTAAATTATTACATTTATTAATATATTAACATTATTATTTATTATTAACAGAATTTTTCCATAAAAATACATTTTATAAACACATATAAATGAAGATTAAATTCAAACTATTCGAGAATAACTTTGCCTAAAACTTTGTGTTTACATCCGTATATTTTTAGACAAGCATATTGCGTAATTATTACGAAACATTTGCAAAAAATGAAATCGAAATCTCCATTTACCGCAGAAAAAAATTTATAGCTGCATGTTAAAAAAACAAAGAAAATAGCTTACTAAATCAACTTAACAAAATGTTATTGCATAACAAAAATATACTATAAAAATGTTGAAAATTGGAAACCTTTCTTGTTCTTTCATGCTTTTACTGCTTACATTCCTGAATATCAAGAAAATCTTCACAAACTGATCTTGCATATTCAAAAAGAGATAAAAACAATCGTACACCACTTAAAACCGGTTTTAAAAAACTGCCAAACCCTACTGCTGACCACCTTCTCCGACTTAACTTTTGATAGTATATTTCCTGATCTTTCCTACACCACTTATAAGACCATCTGCTATTTGTGAGTTAAAGAAGCACAGAAACTATACAGACATTGAAGAAACCAAAAAAAATCAACTGACAGCTGTCAACAGCATTTATACCAACTGACAGCTGTCAACAGCATTTATACCAACTGAAAGCTGCCAACAGCATTTATACCAACTGAAAGCTGTCAACAGCATTTATACCAACTGACAGCTGTCAACAGCATTTATACCAACTGACAGCTGTCAACAGCATTTATACCAACTGAAAGCTGTCAACAGCATTTATACCAACTGAAAGCTGTCAACAGCATTTATACCAACTGAAAGCTGTCAACAGCATTTATACCAACTGAAAGCTGTCAACAGCATTTATACCAACTGACAGCTGTCAACAGCATTTATACCAACTGACAGCTGTCAACAGCATTTATACCAACTGACAGCTGTCAACAGCATTTATACCAACTAAATTTAAAGAATGTGCTGCACAAGAAATAAAATCAATATTTTGGCTCTCATTTTTCAGTTGTGCTTTCAGGTCGTTGATTTTCCAGACATGGTAGGTGAGTCAAAGTGTGAATTGTCAGGTAATGAGCAAACAACCAGTAATGTATTCAGTGATGTAGTCAGTGATGTAATTAGTGATGTAATCAGTGATGTAGTCAGCGATGTAATCAATAATGTAATCAGTGATGTAGTCAGGTAATGAGCCAACAATCAAGTAAATAGACGTTTTTGACCCCTCTCTACCAATGGATTGCAGAATATTTTTAGTCATTAAGAATATTATTTCCTCAAAAATTGCCAATTAAATGAATGAAACATTTCTTCTGCCCTGATTTTCTTAGTTTTTTAAGTTTTTAGCAAGAAATGGGTCAAATTTTGAAATGGGTCAATATTTGAAAAAAAAACTCCAAAGTCCCAAGAAAGTTTTCATTACTGAAGGCGTCTACTTCTTCTGAGTCATCTCTAAGAGCTATACCTTGACTGCACAAAAATTTAAGCAACCAACAACTCTTCTCACAACATCCCTTCAGTAACGCTTTTCATCATTCAACTGCTGTTTCTAATGAACATTAATATTTCTCTTTATTGTGATATTTTTAAAATAACACTGGACTTCATGAGGGTTTGTTCATGCCTCTGTATAGAATGCTGTCAATGTTACCATCCATACCAAAAAATATGAGTTTGGTTTAGTTCAGAGTTTTTCATTTAAAAGTTACTGATGCAGTAAAAGTTTTTAAATTTCATAACATAACACATATTATGCTCATAACATATCCTCTTTCAGCATTTTTATCAATTAAAAAAAAAGAGTTTGTATATTACATTAAAAAGTTAAAAGAAAAATATACATATAACGAAAACAAACTGGAAGCCATAAAGCCAACAGAGTTTACAAATAATCTGTTACATCTGAAACATAAGTTCAACCACAAAAACAGGCTTACCTTTTTATCCCGCTCAATCATATTATTTTACGTATTAAAAAGCTGGACATTTTATACATTTTTGGGTCCTTGCAGTAGTGATATAGAGGGCCTAACAAACCCATAACTACAGTAGCGTATATATTTTAAAACTGGGAGCCCCTACTGGGTTTCTATTTTTCGGGGGTCGGGCGCAACTGCGACCGTGCGCCCGGGTAGCCCCGGCGTTGCTAAAGTGTTAATATATTGTTATTGAATGTTGATTATAAAAAAACAGGGGAAGGGATCCCCTGTGTGCACCACATATTTATGATTTAGCGTGACCTATTTAACACGGTTTTACTCTACAGTTCAATATAACTGCTATTTACATTTAGAGATTTTCGTGTGTCATTGGCAAGTTTATTTTTTAATTGCAAAATAGTCAAGTTGAACCAAAAATAATTTTATATACCTCAGAAATTAAATAGATTTTATTTAAGTTAAAAATTATTTAATTCCCCCGTAAATTGTTTAGAAGATACTATTACATTGCTTTAAATCTCAAAAGATGAATTAGAATAGTTTAGACATTAAAGCTGTTAATCGTATTTAAAATTTAAAGTAAATTAAAGTTTATTACTATAACGTAAATTGTGAGCGTGTCCAAACAAATATGTTAAAAATGAACTTAAACGTCGTTAAGTACAGAATTTTAATTTTGGGTTGTTGCTCCCATGATAATATCAAGATTACGTAACTTACAAATTATTGTAAAAAAAAGTTATAAGCGTTAAAAAAAACTTAATTCATTTAAGTTACATTTAAGTAAAAAGTAACTTGCATTTCTAACACATTTCGACATCGTTCCGCAACCAACTTTACTGAGATTGATTGCTATTGTTTTATACATATAAAGTTGTGTTATGCGATGTAGAACTAGGTTTCACTTGTGAAATACATTGGTAAAATGTTTATAGTCCTTATATACTTTTTTAACTAAAAAAAATTTTTCGCCACCTTTTGAATTTCTATATAGCATTGTATTCTTAGTATTAAAAGAAGACAAACAAATAAAAAAATCTTTGTGTCAAATTTTTCGATATTCATTTTTGAATAAGTCATTTGTTTATTGCATTCTTGGTCTATATAGACAAAAATAAAAAATAACCGACCAATTTTTTTAACTTTTGATTTAAAAAAATTCATTAAAGAAAATTAAACATTTTAAGAAGTATTATATATATATATATATATATATATATATATATATATATATATATATATATATATATATATATATATATATATATATATATATATATATATATATATATATATATATATATAAAGTATAATTAAATAGAAAAATACAACTTTTAGTTCCATTATAAAGTTGTATTTTTCTATTGAATTAAACTTTATACATAATGGAACTAAAAGTTTCATGCCGTTCGGCAATCTTCAGCCATATATATTATCAATATATATGGCTGAAGATTGCCGATAGGCATGAAACTTATAGTTCCATTATAAAGTTGTATTTTTCTATTTAATTATACTTTATATATGTATATTGATCTATTTTGTAAAAATTGCTTTTACATTATATTGATCACTCTCAAGTAAACAAGAGGATTTGTATCTCAAGCAGATACAATAATAAACAACAATATATATATATATATATATATATATATATATATATATATATATATATATATATATATATATATATATATATATATATATATATATATATATATATATTTATATATATATATAAACACACTTATTATTAGCCCTGACCTATAAAACAAATTTACAATAAAAATTTACTAAAAAGTTTTATATAATTTTACAATTGTATAAAACAAGAATTTTAAAAAACTTGAGACCATTTAGAAAACATATATCCAGGTTATAAATATATTCTAGCGATTGATCTGTTTCAATAAATATGTTGTCTATATTGGTTTAATTCAATGCTGTATATAATAAATCAAGATTATTTAATATTACGTTGTATAAAATATTATATATAATATATAAGATATTCATAAATAAATGTGCGAAAATTTCATTGCTTAAAAGTAAGAGGTCTTTTTTTTTTTGTTAAATAAATTTCAATAAGTGGTTATATTTGTAATTTTTTTTTTTTGAAAAAGTATTATAGGACAGGGCCCTTGCTACTGATGTATTTTTGATAATGTTATATACCTTTTGTTTTTGGAATAACGACAGCATTTAAAAGTCCTTTTCCCCGAACTATTGTGGCAACTTTAGAATTAAGTTTGGCCGACAGCTCATTTCTAAAAATATTACCAAGTTTCATTGAATTCTCTGCAAGATTTTCTTCAATCAAAACCTAGAAAATTAAAATTGCTTGAAAACTGATCTTTTTATTCAAACGATTTACATTAATATTTTTAAAAAAGTTTAAGCAAGATCAATAATCCAACAATACATTTAGAATCATTGGTTAATATGTTTTTTTTTTTTAATTTTACGGTAACCTCAAGAGACGCTATTGCAACTTTGCTAGCCAGAGGGTTGCCACCAAATGTTGAACCATGCTAAAACAAAAATGAGGAATTTTTTTTTATAATTTTTAGCTTTTTAACCAAAAAAATAAAATAGTAAAAATTATACTTGACCAGGCTTAATTGTTAACATGACTTCATCGTCAGCTAATACAGCTGATATCTGGAGAAAAATAAATAATAAATAAAAAATTACGAGTTTTTAAAAAAGTTTTATTATTAAACAAGTTGTAATGTGTAAATAAATATTAAGTTAAAACAAATAAAATATAATAAATATACTGACAGGCATTGTTCCTCCAGATAGAGCTTTTCCGAGTACAACTATATCAGGTCTTGCATCTTCATATTGCACACAAAGCAACCTAGACAGAGGGATTTTAAATGTATTTAAAGTTTATAAAAATATATAGTTTAGCACAAAAATAAACTTTTAAATAGTTTTAGGTTAGCACAAAATATAGTTTTAAATAATTTTAGGTTAGCACAAAAATATAGTTTGAAATAATTTTCTATTTTACATTATTACAATAAATATTTTTAAACATTCTTATACTTTCCAGTGCGGCATAATCCCGTTTGTACCTCATCGGCAATCCATAATACCTGAAAATATATTTCTTATTTTATTTAGCAAATCAAGTTTAAATAATATAACAAAAATAAATGATACAACATATCAAACTTTAAATGTTATCTATAATGTAAAACTTTTTATTCCAAAATTTTGTTTTTTTTTAATTTTATCTCTGTATAGCTATTGTTAAAAATATTGCAATACGTCCAGAGGCACTATTTGTGTGCAATTAGAAGGTATTTTGGAAAGAAGCGTCGTCATCTTTTTTCTAGTGTTTTTGGTATCGACCTGTGTTTCCACGTAGCGGCCTTTTTGGTCGAGGTTTGTGTTTCGGAGTCGTAGAGTTGAAAGAGAGAGTTGTTACCACAACTAAAGTAGCCTCCTCGAATTAAATAGCCTTCATTGTCTTAGGGAGTTGAATTCAAATAAAATATAATAAATTTAAGACAAGGAATTTTCGAACAAAGGGAACTTTAAACTATCGTGTTAATGATTAAAAAGTTTAAACTTTTATTGATAATTTACCTTTTTTGACTATTTTTTTTTTTGAAAATAAATAAGTTTTTTGTTTGTTTGTTTTCAAACACTTTCAAATGATGGGTATGAGGAAAGTTCTCTTTCCAATGTTCCTTATACTGTCTGCCCAGTGTTTATGAGTCACAGCAAAAATTACACTTTATTTAAAATATTTATATTTTTAAATGAACATTTTTAATAAAATCGATATGACATTTAAAATAAAAAAAACTATTTAACCATTTACATTTAAACGTTTTTTAAAATGTTTATATAAATATTTTCCGAAATAATAGGGGAGACCCCGCTCTCCCCTTGTTGTCACTCTTTTAAAGTTTTAGACTGCTTATATTTTAGACTGCTTACGTTTTAGACTGCTTATATTTTAGACTGCTTAAGTTTTAGACTGCTTACGTTGTAGACGGCTTATATTTTAGACTGCTTATATTTTAGACTTTTTTTATATTTTATTTTTCATTTAATCAAACTTTGCACTAAAGTTTATTTTATTATAAAATTTGTTTTATTATTATGCTATGTATGAGTTTCCAAGGTTTCCAATAACTATTACAACAATTTCGTGACGTTGAATTGAATAAATTTTGTAGTAAAATCATTTTTCAAAGTCCTCTGCAATGTCACAACCAATCCTAACCACAAGGTTAGTTGTAACAAAGTGTGAGATTGGTTTGGTATGCTTAGATTGTAATCAAATTTGAGCACAATCTAATTTAATAAAACGTAATTTTGTTAATGTAATTCTAAAGTGACTGTTAGCTTTAAGACTAAAGTTTTTCAGATTATTTTGAAAACAAATAATTTTTTTGATGATTTCACCACCCTAAGGCCGAGGCCACTATAGTTGAGGAGGGTTTTTATTGTGGTTACAATACTCCCTCAATTCTCTAACTGAAACACAAAACTTGAAGGATGTCGCTGCGCGGAAAAACACGTTGAACGGGGTACTTCCAGGGACGTGGAATAATTTTAATCATGGAATAATCTTATATTACTGAAAAGACTGTTTTTCAAAAGTACAACACAAGTTACACTCTAAAAAGTGTTTTTAAAAATAGTGTTAATTTTTATTATATGAAGAACAGATTTGCAAAGCTGGCATTGAATCCACTATTCTCTCGCTCTGCTATTAGCAAATGATTCAAAACATAGATACATAAATATTCTTTATTTTTCGATAAATTTAAAACTGTCAATGCTTTTTTTTTAGCAAAATTTGACTTTCAACAATTTTATTTTACTTCCATTCATATGTAACTTAGAATTTTTTGTCTTATTAATTTGCTTGTTTTTATCATTAGTAAGACTTGCTTTGACAGGTGAGTTAGTTAAAATTACAGTTAAACGCTTTTCCTTATCTCTTTTTGATGCTAACCATTAACCTGCTTTAGGTAGAGGTCCAAAACTCTCAGGTGGTATAATTGAATTTTTAAAAACTGACGAATTGGGTCATGTTCAGAGATTTTATTTGATACGCGTGGATCTTTTATATTTCTATCTAGCTGATTAGCCGGTATTTGAATAAATTCTTTAAACCTTTTATTTGGTAGTTCTAGTTGAACTGAATACGGTTGGTAGATTTCTTTATTTGAATCAGCATGTAAAGAAGATGGATTGGGCGATCAGTTACATAATAAGGTCAGTAAACAGCATCAGTAAAAATATCAGGATTTAATGGGTAAATACCCATTGCAGCAAAATAACTCAAACTATTCTTAGAAGATACAGCCTGTGATACAGCTAGTGATGTCGTACTTTTGGACAACATTATATAGTACTAACCAAGACAACTGTCCCCATTTATTTTGTGACAAGTAACCCCTTCTATGTTAGTAGAAAGACATCTGCAAATTTACCCAAAAACGTGTGAATTTCATGAGAATTTTTATAGATAACATTTCTCAAATGAATAAAAATTTTTATAAATGTACATTTAAAACACACTATAATTTCCGTTTAGAAAGTTAATATATATACATAAACAATAACTTTTTTTCTACACGTTAAAAAGATGGAAATAACTGTGAAAATGTTTTTCTTTTTAATGAGGTTTGTTGCACAATTTAGAAATTCTAAATTCTATCAAAACTTTTAGTAATAAACTTTGTGACAACTATTCAGCGTGACATGACAACCAACCCTACTCTCTCCTAAAAATTTAAACAACCATTTTTGATTTGATATTTAATATAAAAAAACCATTTACATTTAAAAATAGACAACAAATTTTTGTTGTTATTTATATCTCTACTATTTATTTTTCTATTCAATTAAAAAATAAACCGCGCAATATAAATCTGGACGTTTCGGAGAGGTTATAAACAAATCTTAAATGCTATAACTTTTAAATGCATAAATACATTTTATTGAAACTTTTTATTTGTCAACACATTTTTATCTGTTTTAGCCTTAAAAAAAATTTTTTTATTAAAATTTTTCGGGCTTTCTTCAACCTTAATGATTTATTTAAAAATCCTTATTTTACATTAGTATGAACACAAATATTTGTTATTCATACGATTCCTGACACCGCCTTATAGAATCGTTAGGACACTCCCTCCGTAAAATCGCCTCTGGCCATGGAACCACACAAACCATTTAAATGTTTAACTCGCAAAGTTCTGTAAAAGCTTTACTCATAAGACTGTCGCTATAAAAAAAGGTTTCATAAGATAGTATAATCAAGAATTAATCGATCAATCGTTTTATTTAATCTTTTTATTCGTCTCGATATTTTTGTTTGTTTGTTTTAACAAAGGCATTAAATTTTATACAAGACTTCATAATAAAAATAAGAATAACTCACTAGATAATTTGGTAAATCAAAACTTAATAAACTTTTTTTATTACGCGAAGCTTAGGATGCTATAATATATATATATATATATATATATATATATATATATATATATATATATATATATATATATATATATATAATATATATATATATATATATATATATATATATATATATATATATATATATATATATATATATATATATATATATATATATATATATATATATATATAGGTCAATTTTTTGTATGATATTATGTATATAATATAACTAATATATAATTATGGGCTCTATAATAAACAATAGTGAATTATTACGCAGTAAAAATTTAGGAAAGGTAGGTAGGTCCAAAAGCTCTTTCTTTATAAGTCACTGAACTAACATCTGATTTAACCATTATATATCTAATAACTTTATGATAAAAAACTCTTTTGTATTGATTAGATACCAGATAAAATTTTAATCTAAACTAAAATTAAAATGTCAAAACTTCCGTTAAAAAGTTAGAATTAAAAAAATCAAAAGATTGATTAAAAATTTAATTAAGTTAAAAATATAATTAAAAATTATTTGAGAATCATCTAATTTTTTTTTAATTACTTTTTATATCGAACGTTTTAATGATTTGAAAAAGATTTTACTTTTGATTAATGTTAATTTAGACAAAATAAACTTGTTTTATTCAAAATCTAGTTAAATAATGCCAGTGTATGAACGAATTGCATGACAGCGTCAGCATACATTTAGCCTCGAATCAATGATTTTTCTATTACGTTAAGTTGGCATTATCTTTTAGAGTAATCCATGTGTTGTGTCTAAAGTTGTGAATTGATCACTTGATAACTGTAAAAAAACTTCGGAATTTATTCAAATTGCAATAGGACTGGGTTTTCTAACTACCCAAATAAACTGCTGGCCAATTATGTTGCATAGTTATTTTTCAAATACATTTTAAGACATTTTCTTAGTTGTTATAATATAGTTTGCTATCACTTACCCCTTCCCTTTTAATACGAAACCGTTTTAAATAACTAAATTTTACTTACATTATATTTAGTACAAAGCTCGCGGACTTTTTTAAGATAACCAAAATCAGGAACAATAACTCCAGCTTCGCCTTGAATTGGTTCGACCATGAAAGCACATGTATGTGGGTGTTTAAGCTTTTCCTGAAACAAAATATGTTGGAAAAAGGGACTAGGTACAAACAAACGAAATGTTTTTATGACGAATGATAACATTAAAAGCCAGGGATTTAATATCACCTGATTTGTACCTCTAAAGCTGAAATATCATTGTACGGAACAATATAGAAACCAGGCATATAAGGACCATAATCGTTTTTGCAGTCTGGGTCCGTTGAGCTTGAACATGCTGAAAGAGTTCTTCCCCAAAAATTATTCTCAGCAAATATTATTCTGGCTTGATTTTCAGGAATACCTTTTACTTTGTAAGCCCACTTCCTCGCAAGTTTACAAGCTGTTTCACCACCTTCTGCGCCACTATTCATTGGAAGAACGCGGTCATATCCAAATAATTTAGAGGCATACTCTTCAAACTCCCCTAGCACATTACTAAAAAACGCTCTAGATGTTAAAGTAAGAATATCAGCTTGTGTTTTTAAAGCATCTATTATTTTAGGATGACAATGTCCTTGATTTAAAGCTGAATAGCCACTAAGAAAATCATAATATCGTCGACCATCTACATCCCATACATAAGCTCCCTTACCTCTACACAAGGCAACTGGGATGGGTGCATAATTGAGCGCGCCATACTTTTCTTCACGCTCTATAATAGCTTCAGTAAAGGTTGAACGCTTACTTCTATTTGTCATCACACTGTGGTTACACGAAAAGTTCTTGATACACGTGAGGCGTTTTTTCAAAAGAAAACGAGACATGTTTATAAACTTTTATTAGCTAAAACAAAAAACTACATTTCAAACCAATTTTATTAAAACTTACTTTTCAACAACAGACGAAATCGTTTTGACGTTTATAAAATAAATTACACACAAAATGAATTTAATAAAACCGTTTCTTAAAAAGAATTTTTTTATATCCATATATATGTTCATTAAAAAAACTTTAAACAAATAATCGTGGCTGTGCAGATAGCTTAGCAAAACAGCGACTAGCAACGATAAGGAGATTTAAAAACAGACGTTTTCTTTAAATCATCTTATTATACATTCATATATATATATGTATCTATATATATCTATATATACCTATATATATATCTATATATACCTATATATATATATATATATATATATATATATATATATATATATATATATATATATATATATATATATATATATATATATATATATATATATATATATATATATATATATATATATATATATATATACAATTGATAAAAATTATATATATTTTTCAATCCATTTATCCATTTATTAAATCAAAAAGTATACATTAAACTTTATTTCTTAAATTGTATGAATAAATTAAAATTGGCTAATGTTTTTTATATTATTTTTATAAATTATCTAATATATATTGTTAAAATCATAAAATCTTTGTTTTAAATATAAAATATAAATTATTTCTAAACAGTTTCTAATCCCAAATACTAAAACCATAACATAAGATTGCATAAAATAAAAACAAAACTCTTTCAAGAAAATTTGATTTGAATACTTAGAGCGACGATTAAAAAAACAAAACAAAACAAAAAAAACAACAAAGATAAAAAGTTCTTCGAAAAGAATTAAACAAAGAAAAGTTGAAAATATCGATTAAGTTTTAATATTTTTCCGAATCCATTCCATACCATTCTAAAAAAGAAAAACCATTTTCAAAATAAACGGGGAATTTCTAAAAAATAATAACACGATAAAAAATTAATAACTAACCGAAAGACCTTCACCGCTAATCGCTGAACACATTTGAATTTGCCACGCTCGATCTTTAATGCTATTCAAATTTAGACCTTCCATCAACTAAAAAAACAAATTCAGTCAGATGTTGGAAACCACGCTAAATATTTTTGACGTCATTCATTTTTTTTTTAAATATACGAAATGAAATATTTTATTTGCAAAGAAGAAACTAAATTAATTAATTATATATGTGTGTGTGTGTGTGTGTATATATATATATATATATATATATATATATATATATATATATATATATATATATATATATATATATATATATATATATATATATATGATGACGTAAATAAAATAAATATGGTACAATAATTTATTTAAAAATACCAAAACGGAATATTGAAAGCTAATACACGTTTTCAGTATGAAAAATTTTTGCGACAAAAGTGCGGTCGTAAGGTAACAGGTTCTCTACTAGAAATATACCGAAGTAAAAAGTGCGCCACTAAAATTAAACGTCTAATTAGTATTTTAATCTGTTAGCAGTTTTTTATTAAGAAAGCAGGTTTTTGTTTTAAAACTAATTAAAAACTAAAAAAAAATTATTTTGCAATAAATTTTTGAAATTGCTCATTTATTTTATCAGCAATCCGTAAGCATTTTAATTAATTTGTTGCTAAAAGCTATTCAATGTTATTTCGTTATCGAGACACGAACTTGATATCTTATTAATAATAAATTTGAAAAACAGGAAACTAAAGACTCCAAAGTATAACAACATATTTTTTTTCAAACATTTTTCAAAAATAACCGCTTTTTTTAATTACAACGAAAAGAACTTTATTAAAATTTATAAAAAAAAATATAAGCTTAAAAAACAAACAAGCCATTCTATTAATAAATCTTATTTCGCCAATGATCTTAGAGGGGTATTATATTGTAATTCTAAATCTGTAATTTAAATCTGTAAAGTATAAAAAACTAAAAATATTTTTACCTCTGAAGACTTTGCAGCATGCAAGAGATCTTGTTTATTAGCAAAAATAAGAACAGGAGTTCCGATAAGCTTTTCTTCTTCTAAAAGTTCAGCTAATTGCTAAAGATAATAAGTCAATATCGCCAAAAATAAATGCAGTCATTATAAAATAACATTAAAAAAAATCAATATGAAGTCATTAGTATAACATCACGAACGTAAAATTTTCACGATCGTCACTATTTTTAAATAATATTTCCTAAATAAAAATCTAGAAAATTTTACTATTTTATCGTGGTCAATTAGGGATGAATCGTAATTGTTAAAATTTTATTTGAAATTCTATTTTTTTTTTTTTTTGAATAAATAAAAATGAGAATTAAATTTGGCTATGCAAAAATAAAAAAAATTAAATTAAATTAAAAATCATAGTAAATTATTGCAATCGAGTTTAACTTTAATTTAAAAAAACAACATCCAGTCAGGGCCGCCGAGAGCTGTCACACCGCCTGGGACAGCAATCCTGATTGGCGCCCATATTTATCAAACTTTCCCTATATTATATATGAAGGACCTCTTTTTTTTTTAGGTACTTACATTTCATTTGGCGCCCCTTGGATATCTGTGGCCCCCCTCTCGATGGCCCTGCATCAAGTGCATTTAATTTTATTTGCTTTTAAAGTTTTGAACAACTGTCTAGTTCAGGAAATACATTATAACCCAGCAAATATGCTAGCAGCCAGACGGCGTTACAATTTTAAAAAACGATGCTTTCAACGTTGAATCGACGCATTTTTTTTTGTAAACTAAATTGCAGTAAATTGAAATTTTTTTTTGAAGATGAAAAACATTATCCTCTTCAGAAAAAAAATTATTAAACCATTATCAAAAACTATGTATGTGGGAAAATGCAGTTTTTCTTTAATTTCCTAAAGTTTATATTGTTGGACTTATAACATTCATCGATTTAATTGATAGTTATTTTTTTATTTCAGATATGTGACTGTTCTTTCAATATTCACCACCAAGGGCTATTGGATATTACCAGACATATAGGTGGTCCTCAGCATAAGAAGGCAGCTAAAGATATTGCATCAAATTAGCCAAATTTGCCAATTGAGTGCTCATCACACGCAGGTCCTCTTTTCAGGAAAATGTTTTCTGACAGTAAAATAGCAGCAAAGTATGGATGTGCAACAACAAGAACAACATGTATTATTAATAATGCCATTGCTCCACCATTACATTCATTAACTGTGGACTTTCTCAAAGCTAAATAATTTAGCCTTTCTGTTGATGGAAGCCGTGATACAGGTACTGAAAGCATGTATCCACTTGTGAAGATTTATGACATTAATAGAGGTGAAATCAGTTCTCAGTTTTTGAATATGGTTCTTGTCAATGATTGTACAGTTGCAGTAATTTTCCAAAAGGTGTCAGATATCTTTGAAAAAGAAAGTGTTCCCTAAGAAAATTGCATTAAGTTTAGACAATGCCTCTGTGAACATGGGAAAACACAAGGGATTATTTCTAGAGTCAATTTACACATTTGGATGTCCCTTTCATATTATTCACAATACTGCAAAAGCAGGATCAGATGCATTTACTAAAGCAACAGGATTTGATGTTAGCGACTTTTTAGTGAACATTTTTTATTACTTTGACAACAGCACTAAACGACAACATACATTAAAGGATTTTTGTGGCTTTTGTGATCAGGAATACAGAACAATTTTGAAGTATGGGGCTACACGATGGCCAAGTAAAGAAGTGCGTACCACTAGAGCAGGTTGTAAGGAACAAAAGTTATATTGTGGGGGAGGGGGGAACAGTACACCCATAAATAGTTTCAAGGGACCTATTTTTTTTTTTTTTTGTCATTTTTTCAGTCGACTTTTTTAAAATTATTTATTTCAAAATTTATTGGGCAAAAGCCCCTGCTGCTTTATAGTCAAAATAGAGTACAAAGTGACAAACAACTCACAAGATTTAAGACATATTTTGAAGATATGAAATACTAAAGTCTACCTGATATTTTATCAATCAGTTTTACCATTGTTTACTATTCTTAATAAAACTCTTCAATCAGAAGTACCTAAAATTCATGTGGTGAAAAGTAAAATCATGGAATTCCTGAACAGTGGGAAGTTTATTAAAGTGGAGTATGTTTCATTACTGTCTGAAGAAATCACTGACCCAGCATATTTTTTTGCAAAGGAAAGGTTATGATAAGATTCACAACACATACAGCAATGAGAAATAAAGACTCTACCAAGTGAGAAGGCAAGATTTGAATCTGGAGCAATTTGGTTCATGCAGGCAGCCTATGTATATGGAAAAGGTCATTTTCCATTGAATGACCCTGTTGTTGAACATGCAGGTGTTATCTAAATTGAGAATAGAAATTCTGTTGAATTTGAATCAGTGTTATACTTTATAAACAGATTTCCTGCTTTGAAAACATTAATTGGAGATAATATAGACTGTGTTTATGATCAGTTTGTGGCATATCAACTGCTCCCAGACAACACTTTCCTAGAAGAAAGAACTGATCATGCATGGCATAAGCTGAATAGTCTCAAAAATGCAACTGGTCCACAACTTAATTTGTTGTTTTAAGTTGCTAAGTTTATCATGGTGTTACCGCATAGCAATGCAGCAGGAGAGGATTTCCTCCACAGTTACGAAAAACAAGACCAAATTCAGAGCATCTGTATCAAATGAAGTAACCATTTCATCGAAATTCATGTGCAAAACAAACTTTTTCAATCACACAGCTTGTTTTAATTATGTTCCAGAGGAAAAAAGGCAGCTAAAAAAGCTACAGTACAGTACAATAACAAATAAGTTCTTTAAATCTGATGTGAATATATATATGTACGATAATTTTTTAAAATCTGATGTATATTAAATTTAAAATTTGGTCACAATGCATGACCCTCTAATGACTTTTAAAAATTTGTCGAATAAGCATTTAAATAGTAATGTAATTATGCTTCTCAAAAATAACACGTTTATTCAATGTTAAATAAACGTACACAAAATGTAACTTTGTTAATTTATACTCTCGAGTGCCGAATACAAAGGGGGTGGGAATAAACGGGTGGGTGGGAATTTTAGTTAAAATTTTTCAGTTTTTTTCTGAAAATTAATAAACAGGAGGGGGGGGGGAGGCCATGTTCAATGCCTCCCTGTTTATTTGGCATGCAAATTATGCATGTTCAAGTCAAATGCGCATTTGACTTGCGATCAAAAACGCATTTTCTAACAGCTGTTAGGGTAGTTTTATCATAATTTCAATAGGATTTAATATGCTGATATAAGTTTTATACTTTGCAAAGTATAAAACTTATATTCAGCATATAAAATCCTATAACTAAAACCAAAGCTTTGTTGAGAAATAAACTAAAAGTTTATTTTTAGCAAATCGAGATTTAACAGGTCGACAATTTATAAAACCTGTTTAAACTGAAAGATTTTGTTTTTATCAATCGAAAAAAGTTGCAAAAATAAAAACTTTACAAAAAAATTTCGCTTTTTCAAAATTATTTTTAAAATTAAATTAGTGTGGAAATTTAAGTGCGATTTAGCTTCTAATAAAATTACGTTTACTCAATGTTAAATTAACCTTACTTAGCCAACTTTGATAAAGATATAATTTGGGAACGTTGAATAGGTGTTATTTAATAAAATATCGCTCTGAATATGTTGGTGATAGGGCACATATACTTACACAGACACACACATGTATAGAGTAAATTTATGCATAAGTTTATAATAAATAATTATAAATTCCCTAGCCCCAGCTGTCTACCCCTGCTAAATTTTATAATTTTGCTGGGACCGGTTTTGTAGAAAATCCCATTGAAAAAATTCGTTGAAATCATACAACTGCATAAAGGGCAAATTGGGTCTGAAACCAGTGGCTTAATTACATACGTACTTAACAAATTGAATTTCCAAAAAAGGTTTTCAAACAAATTTTTAAAATTAAAATCTAGTGAAAAAACGTCGCAATGTTTTCAGATTTGTATCTGAAGTTCTTAGGTTCATAATGAAAGTTTGTAAGGCAACAGAGAGAATTAAAATATCTCCTTTATTACATAAGATTTACTCATTCAATAATTTTACACTTGCAAAAGTTTTTAGAAATTAAGTCAACTTCTCTTATATGTTTTTCATTTTTTTGTTTGTTTGTTTGTTTGTTTGTTTGTTTTCTTTAAAAAAGTTTTAAAAAATATATTAAAAAAATACCATGCCAGATTCTTCAAATCGAGCGCGATCAGCACTGTCAATGACATAAATCTAAAAAGGCAAAATATTAATATAATTAATTTAACTGTTACAATCCTACCATCTTTTATACAATAATTGTTACAGTCGTATCGATTTTTATATAATGATTGTTACAGTCCTATCATCTTTTATATAACAATTGTTAAGATCCTATCGTCTTAACCATGCATTAACATAAATTTTAGTTTTTACAAGATTTTACACATACAAAATATTATTTAATGAAAAAAATTATTAACCACCAAAATCAGCAAGATATATAATAGTAGATATAATGAATTTATATATATAAACATACAAAAACACTTCATTATACTTAAAAACTCCTTTCTATAAATAAACTTATAAACTTCTTTTATAAAAAACCTGTAAAAATTTTTACCAGAACGTCTGTATTTTCAAAATAATTCCTCCAATAAGATCGAATTGTCTTTTGACCTTCAAGTGAAAATACAGAAAATTTCAAAGTTATAGAATATAATCAAATAATATATAAAGGTTTTTTAAGGTATATAAACCAAATTTTAAGTAGCCATATATAAATCAAGTACCTCCAATATCCCAAACATTAAGAAGAATTCCCTGAGATTGTACTGATTTGATATTAAATCCCTAAAGAAGTTAACATTTAAAAAGTAAACAACTTACAAATTTAAAATGACAATCACAAAATATTTAAAAAATACTCAGATATTAGTAACTACTAGGGTAGGTGTGACCAGATATTAGTAACTACTAGGGTAGGTGTGATCAGTATTAGTTAGGTAGATGTGATAAGGTATTGAAAGTGACATTAGTTAATTATTTCTAAAAATAACTCTCACTAAGTCCTCTTCTTAGATTATCGTTTACTACTGACTTTTCATGGAAACCATATATACAATCAATTGCTAAATTAGCATCTGCTAAAGTTGCTTCCTATTATTATGCTCACCATATTCTTTCTCCTGATTCCATTCTCTACCTTTACAAATCTCTTATTCGTCCCTGTATGGAATACTGTTGTAACATTTGGGCTGGATCTTCAAATGATGCTCTTTCTCTTCTAGGCAAGATCCAAAAACTCATTTTAAACAACGTTGAATCCGGTCAAACTGCTAAGCTTGATTTTCCATCATCATAAAATTACATCTCTTTCTTTTTTCTACAAATGCTATAATGGTTGTTGCTCAAAGGAGCTATCATCTTTAGTTCCGTTAACTAAAACTCAACCTCACTTGACTGGCAAAGTCTTATTCATTTACTGTATCTGTCCCTGCATGCTCTAAAAACTTTTATTTGTCTAGTTTTTTTTCTGCATTTCAACCTTTTGGAACTCTCTACCATCTTTATGTTTTCCTGACTCATACAACCTACAACTTTTCAAGTCTTCTGTCTACTGTTTCCATGATCTATAACTCTATTCTTTTTTTTTTAGTAACTTCCAACTTAATAGGGGTAACTTGCAGCTTTGTTAAGAATGAATCAAAATTAAAAAAAAAAAAAGTCTACTTTTGGTTCATCCCTGGGTGTAATATAAACTAATATCAACTTATTTCTATTATCCAGCTGTGGCACCCTGACCTTGGGGAGGTGAATAAACAAAAAATAGAAAAAATATATATATATTTAATTTAAATAATATACCTGAGTAGGTGTAACATGACTAATATCCTCGGAAGCTAATGATTTTAATATGGTAGTTTTCCCAGCATTATCAAGACCAAGTAAAAGAATTCTAAGTTCTTTTTTGTTTTTCTGTTTCATTTTTCGAATCAAATCAAGCAGGCCCTGTATAGAAATTACTTCTCATCAAAAAATTAAAATTAACTGAAAAAAGAAAAAAATTTAAATAAGTTTACCTATTTTTGGATGAAATATCTATATATAATAACCAGTTGTATCTGTTTTTTTGATATTGACAAAAGAATTTTGAAAGTAGACAAAAAGAAAAGATCAAAAATAAAAGTAAGAAAGTGATGTCTAAGTGTCTTTTTATGCTTACTCTGTGCTTAATACTGGCTTGAAAAAATTGAGGGTTGAAGTTGGGGGAATAAACAGGGGGTGGTGTGTATATATTCATATACAGTATTGGACAAAACATTTGCAACCAACATCGAACAATGCTAAAAAGTGTTCCTAATTTTACATGTCTTAAAAAATGAAACGAACTATACTACCACAGCAAACAGTTCAGGAGTCTGGAGTCATAGCATGCCATGACATGAGCAATGAGCTGACAGATGACAGCACACAGGCAGAATTTCATTGAGAAGCGCCATTTTGCAGAGGACAAAACAAGTGCAACTTTTTTGGTTTGTTTCATTTTCTTAATTCTGGTCTGTGTCAACGTCACAGAAGTTTTTTAATAATTAAAGGAAGTACCCAGAAGTTTCCAGAAGCATGCAGAAGCTTCTAGAAGTTTCCAGAAGAAGCATCTGGAAGCATCCAGAAGTATCCAAAAACATTCAGAAGCATCCAGATGCATCCTGAAGCATTAAAAAGCAGCATCTAGAATCTTCCAGAACAGGTTCACACAGGTTCATTATACTATATAAGAGACATGTAAACCGACATTTAATTCAGTCAGTAAATGGAAGTCAATCAGTCAGTATTATCAAGACAGTTTATCGAAGTGAGTTTTATCAAAGTGCTTTATCGAAGAACATCAATACAAGAAGTGAAATACAACAAGTGTTTTATTACGTTACTGCAATAAGACCGTAAAGCATGGTGGAGGCAATGTAATGGTCTGGGTGTGTTTTTCTGCTAACAGTCTAGGTCCAATACATCGAATCGATGGAATTATGTATAAAAATATCCTGAAAGATGTTATGTTACCTCATGCTGAATGGAATATGCCAATAAAATGGGTTTTTCAGCAAGACGAAAAAGATCCAAAACACACTGCAAAAGTAGTCAAGCAGTGGTTTCAAGACAACCACCTATCGGTGATGGATTGGCTGCCTCAATCTCTGCATCTCAACCCTATCGAGAACCTGTGGGAGATTGTCAACCGCAGAATTAATTGTGAAGGTGTTCGTAATAAGGATCAACTGTTTGAACAAATCCAAAAAGCCTGGACAGCGATTCCACAAAGTTTCATTGATCACTTGATTGAATCTATGCCTCGAAGATGCAAGGCTGTGATCAACAACAAAAGATTCACCACGAAATATTGATAGCAAAATACAGCTTGGTCAACATTTTGTGGAGTTGCACTTGTTTTGTTCAGAAGGAAATCAACTTTTTTTAATACTTTTCATTAATTTATTAATTTTTGTGTACAAATAATGAACTTTGTGATGAATAAAACTTGAAGAACGTTGTCTCTAAACAGTTACATAGTTATTTCTCTAAATTGAAAAAATGCAGCACTTTTATATAAAGAAATTAAATTAGCATTATTTGGTTGCACTTGTTTTGTCTGTTACTGTGAGTATATATATATATATATATATATATATATATATATATATATATATATATATATATATATAGTATGCAAAATAAATAATCGTACACATAAAAAAAAAAATAATTTTAAAGATTGCATCAAAAAAATATGTTGTCTGTTAAAATATTTCAAAGTTTTTTTATATATCTTATCAAGTATTGTTTTAAGAATAAATTTGTGTATTGGTGAACTAATTGCTTTTCCAACCTATTGAATTTTACTCAATTGATCAAATGATGCATAAAATTGACTGCAAAAAAAAATAATCGTAAAGTTCAAAAATAATGTCAAATTGATCAAACTCCATGGAAATTAGTATTGAGTGGGGCCTTCTTTAGCCTTGACAGCCTCATCTAGATGGTTAGACATTAAGTTGGTCAAATTTTGGGTCTCTTCTGCTGTTATATTATCCCATACCCTCATTATAGCCTCTTTCAAGTTGTCTTTGCGTCTAAATGCTAGTTTGCCAATTTTTCTGCCCAAAAAATACCAAATATTTTCTATTGTATTCAAGTCCGGACTTTGAGATGGCCATTCCAAGAAGCATTATCTGATTGGAATCGTTGCTAGTGTGGGTGTTAGAGAACAAAAACGCAAAACCATTAATTCAATTGATCAAAATATTATTAATGTCATCATTAATGTAAAGAAAAATAGATTTAGTTTTGCAGCTAAAATAACTTTGAAAATTCAAAAAGATTGTAACATCACAGTGACTCATCGATTAATCAGAAATTGTATAAGAAAACAAGGATATAGAGATATAGAGTGGTTTGAAATAAACCTTTTTTAACAAATAAAACGTTGACTGGAATTTGCATCAAAGTATTCAAAAATGCTGATACCATATTGGAATAATATTTTGTAGTAAAATGAGTCAAAATACAATCTCGTCTCATTGGATGGAGTCGATGGCAAAAAAAAAAGGAGAAACTTATAAATTGAGTTGTTTGCGAGGCAGTGAAATGCATGGAGCAAATGAGATGGTTTGGGGTAGTATGAGTTGAAAAGGTGTGGAGAAATTTATATTTAATAATGACTAAATGGATGCTTCAATGTATTGTGAAATTCTCCAAGCCAACTTGCCAATAAATATTTAAAAATTGAGAATAGGAAGCGATTTCATACTCCAGTAGGATAACAATCCTAAACATACCGCTAAGAAAACGAAGTTATGCTTTGACACAATTGTGGTGGAAAAAAATCATGTGCCCGACCAAAAATATAGATTTAACAGAATTTGTTATTTATATGTACTTAGAATGATTTTTTACTTAAAACATTTCTATATATGATGCATAGCGAAGACCATTGTGAAGTTACTTTGATCAACTATCTAACCATCTGTTTTATCTAGCAAAAAATTTGACACATGACTTTTTTCCACCACTGTGTGTATATATATATATATATATATATATATATATATATATATATATATATATATATATATTAGGGTAGGTCGATTTTAATTCCGCATATTGCGTAATATTGCAGTAGTTGTAGACAGTTAAAATACGATTACTCTCAAAATTTGAGAGATTTTGGATAAAGAATCGCTTGCAGATTTAATTTTTAAGATTTGTTGGATTATGTAAAAAAACACCTTAAAAAGCGTTATATGCAAAACTTGACGTTTTAACTAAGTTCATATTTAAATGTTTTTCAATACTATTTGCTTTGCTGTATGATTTAAGTTTATAACAGTTTATAACAATTAAGCTAAATTTATAACAACTTGTTAACTATTTGAAGATTTAAATAGTGAAACTTTTATTCTTATATTTACATAAGAATATCAAAATAAACATTATTTTCACAATTTAAAAACATTTTGGCTATGGATATATATATTTTAGGAAAACATTTTCAATTCAAAAATATCATCATAAGAATGGGAATAATGCCCTTTTGAAATATATGGTTTACGCATCTTCCTGCTAAGTAATTTAGTTAAAATGCAGCTGTGTCGATTCTCGAATCCATAAACATATTGGGATGCGTCCGACACAAGTTTTACCGCTCGCTCAACACTCTGGGAGTGAGATGGAAAGTCGGGGATTTCAGGTTTAACATTATTGTCAATCGCATATTGGATTTGCTCAATTGAAAAATGTTGTGTTGTTGGGGGCTCCGTAAATTTAGTAATGCTGATATCAACCAACTCATACCAATGATTAGCATTAGAATTAATTTCTGGAATTTTTTTCAAATTTACTTCCAAACTTTCGATGTTTACTCTATAAATATAAATCAAATCCAATTACCACATTTAATGTATCATTTTTTTTCAAAACTTTATTTTAGTTTACTATAAAAAAATACCTTTGCCTTAGACCCAGTAGGATTTGAAAACCTAAGTTTCGTATCTTGCTGTCATTATCTTTTAACATGGCATAAAGAATATTTTCAGGTTTTAGGCACAATGCATTGCTTTTAATGTTTTTTTTAACAATATATTTAACATCATCAAAGGGGAGATTATTTATTCTAGTGATAGTAGAAAAAATAAAGCGCGGGGATTCGTGAAATTTTGAAGATTTTTTTATATCGAACCACGCTGGAGCGTAAACTTGAACTTTAAAACATACGAGTTTTTTTAAAGAAACAGTTGGTTGATTGTCTCTAGTATACAAACAGAGAAGGCGAATAGCTATAGTTACCTTGCGTGTAACCACCTTGCGTGGTTAAGCGGTCCAATTTTATAGGCGGCCCATTTATCAGAAACTTTACCAAAAGCCTATTCCTTTGCAATATTCAAATAAAAGTCTTTGATCGCAACTAAGGTCTACTAGTATTTCTTTTGGAATATATCCATCTACAATTGGGTTTTCAATACGATTAAACAAAACTTGATTTTTATCCTGAATATTTTCAGCACATCTTTTGCCAAGTAGACCACTAAAGCTTCTTGGCCCAGTTGTGTCACCATCAAGTTTTACAAAAAGAGCTCGTAGCGGAAGTTCATTTTGATGTAATGCGCATTCAATTAGATGTAGTTTTCTTTTTAAAAACTCTTCTAGTTTTACCACTAAGCCACTTATTGGTCCAGTATTGGCAGCAGTATTATCAAGAAGAACAGCTTGTATACTTTCCAAACTGTTATGTTCTTGTAAAACACTAAACGTTTCGGTAGCAAGAACTAAACCTGTAGCACCGGTGACAGGAATTGTCCTATGAGTTAAATAATTTCCACTCAATTTTCCATCTACATAAGTAAATGTGAGGTGATATAAATATAAAATATCTTTAATATCAACGTCATTTTTCAAGAGATAATTTTATGTCATGTAGTAAAGCATTTGCAAGGGCTGCACCTACGTTTGACGAACAC